TTAAAAAATGGATGCGGTTAGCAAGCGGCCATGACCGTGCATGTAGAAATGTGGGCTTGGCGATAAATATACTTGTTAAATATAATTTGATCCTAATTTTTACATCTTTAACATAGAGGTCATGAATATGAAAAAACAAATAAATTTTAAAAATTATAAATAATAATTATATTAAAATAACATTTGAACCGTTACTTAATTGTTTTTAGATGGACCACCTATTCGCATTCATCTTTAAGATGGATGCTTTATACCTCAAGACCGCATATTGCACAAATGATGTCTAGCCTACATACAACAATTGTTCTTAAAAGTTATGTTTCAATTTGGAGTGAACCTTACAATAGCTGGACAAGTATAATGAATAGTAATATATGTGAAATTACCACCGTATGTTTATCATCGGGTGGTTCAAAATACATATCACTATTTTTATTTTAATTTTGTTTCTATAAATCTGATTAAGTTGAAATTTTTGGTGTATATACCTAACACGCAACGGACTCGCCTGAGTCGGGAAATCAGTCTCTCCGGGTTCTCAATAACACATGTGGCAAAATACGAAAATCAATACCTCCGGATTCTCAGACATTTCACCACATGTGGCAAGCCTTCAACCCCACAGCATCGCAACCCCGCATTTTCAAGTGTACGTTTAATGAGGTACAACGAAACTATTTATATCACTAAATTTGATACTCATTCTTGGATGTGGGATAATTCCCACAAGGTGCATTAAATTAAAATAAACATTGAATAAGTATCATTAATATGGGAAGGTAATACACTTGCCATGGTGTGGCTTTATGGTTATTGCTTTCTCTTTGTTGAAGGGCATCTCCAAACCCCAGCTCATGCGTGCTACATTATTTTATTTTTGTTGTAAAAAAAAATAAAAAATTAGCATAAAATAATGTTGTTAATTTGTTGTAAAAAAAATAAAAAATAAGCAAAAAATAATGTGCCAATTTGTTGTAAAAATAAAATAAAAAATGAGCAAAAAATAATGTTGTTAAAAAAAAATTATTCCATTTGAAATTCTTTCTTTCTATTAACAATCTTTTTTACTAAATTTATTCTAGAATCTAAAAAATTAAAATTTTGAAAAATTAAAGTGTTGCTTCGAAAATTGGTACGCATTCAAATAATTTTTATATTGATAACCAAAATTTTATTTTATTTATTAATTTTTACAATATAAATAATGTAATATACTATTTTTGTTGTACAAAACATAAGCAGAAAATAATGTTGTTAAAAAAAAATTACTTCATTTGAAATTCTATCTTTCTATTAACAATCTTTTTTACTAAATTTATTATAGAATCTAACAAATTAAAATTTTGAAAATTTGAAGTGTTATTTCGAAAATTGATACGCATTCAAATAATTTTTATATTGATAACCAAATTTTTATTTTATTTATTAATTTTTACATTATAAATCATGTAATGTATTATTTTTCTTACAGTTGTCAATAATACATTTTAAATTAGATGATATTATAAATTATTTTGGATTTGTTATTGTTTGTATAATAAAATAATTATAAAATGTTAACCAACAATTTTAATTTCAGTATATAATATTATAGTTAGTTAGGTTGTAATAATTTTGGATTATAGTTAGGTTGTAATAATTTGGGTTGTTTTAGCGGATTACGGTTTTCTGCCAATTCGATATTTAGTGGCCATTTTTTCATCAATTTAGTCTACTCTTTATTGTAATCTATGTATGATTGATATACTTTATCTATGATAGTTCTATGATTTTTCTTTTGTGTGATGTAAATTTAATGGTTAACATAAATTTATACAAGGAAAGAACGTCTCAATATTCACAAATTGATGAAAAAAATGAAAGTTAACAATGTAGTACCTTCGTTTCTTATTGAATTCCTAAAAGACAACATTTATAATTAATTTTAGTAGTTTTTTTTTATTTTTTTAAAGCTTAATTCGACCGAGCCGGACAATTCTCGATCCGGATCACGGATTCACCGATATGAATGGATTTTTGGAGTGCCCGATCTGAGACACCGATCCGTTTTTTAAACCACTGCCTAACACTATTTTGGACCATATAAAAATATAAAAAAATTATTTTCAATAATTTAAAATGACAAAATTACCCCCACCATTTTCAGGGATGTTTTGGTTATATTTTATATTTTAAAAAATATTTTTTATATATATTTTAATTATGCACCTATTTTTTAGTATACATGTTTAAAATTTCATTATGATCCGATGTTTTTAAAAAAAAATGAATTCTTATAGTGATATACATTTTAAACCACAAGACGAATATATAATGTCTGGGATTCCGCCTATATTACTATTCATTATATCTATTTTTTCCTCCAATCAAACGTGATTAAAACAACTCTACAAGTTTTTGGGATATTTAGCCACTTTTAAAAGTAATTTTTATTTTCTTATGAGAAGCATGAACATCTCAAAAGTCACCATGAAATCAATGAAATAAAAAGATAAAATATTTTTGAGTTGTATGCTCGATATTTGATGCTGAGAATTTAATTATGACATTATATATGAAGTTACATTGACCGTCCATTCAAACAAATCAAACCATTGAAGATGGGTCCCACATATAACATGCCATGTGTAAAATTTTCCCTTCATCACAGCCATTAAAACTCAGAAATCTGTAACATATAACGGCTTCCAATCCCACGCCGCTCCCAAACCAAAGGGCAAGGGAGGTTGCGGTCTCCATGTGGTTTGTATAAAGCTGAGGCCCTAAATGACAACAAAAAAAAAAAATGCGTATTTTGAGATAGTATCATAAGACCTTGTTTCAAAAAATATTTTTAATAGCTTAAAAATTTATTTTCATTTCTAACTATAAAATTTAAAGCTTCAAAACTAGTATAGATCAAATGGATCTATTAACACTTTTAAATCGTGAAAATTGACGGTCCAAAACATGCATCACAAATGCACTAGTTTCAAGATTTGAAATCTATTTTTTCTTATGTCCATACACTTTGAGGTCGAAATGATCAATTTGGAGATTTTTGGGCATCGAAACAAATTTTTTTTGAGGCGCACCTTAATTTGATTGTTTAGAATCTCACCCTTATATAAACTTTATTTTTTATTTGTATTGGTGGCATTTAAAAGAAATTAGAGGTCCTGCAAGACCAATTTTATCGATCAGCCACTACTTATGGTATCTGATAAACCCATGCAATGAAAATATTTCCATCCATTTCAACTAAGATATGATGTGGTAAGTATGAAAATATTTGATTGAAAGTATTTTCACATGAAATAACTCCCTTATGGGATTAGGTGTGAGATTTTTTCACACTAATTGGTCCCAACGTATTCTTCATACCAATTCATAATAAATTGGTGTGAAAAACGCCTACACTTCATTAGAAGTTCTTTCCTATAAAAATACTTTCACGAAAATATTTTTCATATATACCAATTATGCCCTAAAAAAAAGCCAATAGACCATGTGCCCAAAATATCCCTATTCTAACTCCTTCTCCGCTTTTAAAAATATTAAAAATATATATAAATAATAGTTTAAAATATATAATATATTAAAAAACTTATCCATTTTGTTTAGCCAGTTGAATCAGTCAAATATTAATGGCCAATTTTTTTATTAAGCCTAGATTTTATTATAGTTCAAACTGATCGAGTCACTGGTCACGATCCGACCGGTTAGATCATCGATTTGTGTTAGTAACCTAAAAAAAAAAAAACGTTAGTAATATCTTTATGAATTTTTTAAATATAAAAAATATATTTTTTTTTGTAATTTACACGTATATCAAATTTCTCCTTTTGTTTTATGCCAAATATGCCCTTGAACCTAACAAGCCTCTTGTGCTACGTACAAGCACGGCGCTTGCACGGTAGTGGGGTAATTAGGTATAAATTTAAAAAGGGTGAAAATTATGTATGTGCATAAATTGTACGATATTTAAATATTTTATAATATCAACAAATTAAAGAGATATTAATGATAATATCAACTAAAAATATATATACAACCTAATTAGGCGTTCGAAGAAAATGTTACTTAAAGCCAAAAGATATTATTCTAATTTTGTGGGAGTAGAAAATCCATTTACTCCTGCAGTAAAATGCCCATTTACTCCTTCAGGTAAAATCTACCTAAAATTAAATTTAGAGATGCAGCCTCTCCAATTTATAGATTAACCTCAATAAATATTTTATCCTGACTATATCTTTTATGTACCTGAAAAAACCAATGTCTCAAGATTCAATAGGGACCATCCAATTTTGAAATTACGAGATCTAAGTGTAGAAAGACTCAAATTTCAATTTGTTGGAGAAAAATCGTCTAGTAATTATTAAATGGCTCTAAAAAATTTAAGAACAAAAAATCCTCTTTAAGATCCTCTGAGTGAGGGAGTAAAAGTAAATTATGCTCTTGAAAGAGTATACAATATGTGCTTCTTACTTGAATTCAAGATAGATAATTCAAGTCTTAGATAGTCACATCGGAGTATTGTATTACTAATGAATACGTGTATTATGCTACCTCGGAAGCATAGTTTACTTCTACTTCAATTTGATGACCTATTTGGGAGGATTTTTTACATTTGAATTTTTGATAACCACTTTAGATTCACTAGATGATTATTTTAAAAAATAATAAAAATCGAAAATCAAGTTTTCCGATACTTAGGTCTCACCCTCTGGTTTCAAAACATTATTTTTCAAGTATTAGAAGGTGCAACTAGGAAATTTTTCTATTGAGGTTAATTTATGTGTTAAAAGTTTATATCCCAAAATTTGGGGTCCTAAAATGAAATATTGGTAGATTTTCCTAACAGAGTAAATGAACAGTATACTCTCGAGGGAGTAGAATGTATTTTGACACTACTAATTATTAATGCTCATTCTGGACTACAGTGACGATTTTTTAATGCGGATAAGGTCCTCGAATCAAGCCATTCCATTCGAAGAGTAGGGGAGTAGGTATCAACTGCGCTCCCGGTACGGGTCAAGGATTATAAGCTCCCGTGGGAGCACAATGTACATCTGCTCCCATGGGTAAAACCCTCTTTTAGGGTTTTATATATTTTTTGTGGCATTAGGGTTTCTCGTCCTTAGGCGAACCTCCATCCTCCATTTGTAGGCGTTTTTACAGATCCATATTGGTCAGTTCTGCCAACTAGAGCCACAAAAGATGCTTGTTCTCTTTGAAACCCCAGCGGGTTTCGCCTTATTCAAACTCTTAGATGAAGGAAAACTCGACAAAGTTGATGTATGATGCTTTTGTCTGTTTTCGATTTACAGTTAGGGTTACATGAGTAGATACATGGAGCTCATGAACTCTGTTTATTGTTATGGTGTTTCAGGACTTATGGAAGGAGTTCACTACAGTGGACAATGCGAAAAAGGTCAGTTTTCATAGTGTACCAACCATTCGATCAAACTTTTAAATGGTTTTCGAGTTATTGTTTGTTCAATGTTTGTAGCTTAACTAGGAAACATTTTGTTCAATTTGTTATCAGTAGAGAGAGCTTAAGAACTAATTGTTTGATATCTGCATAAATATTTTTCTCTTGCAGATAGTGTGTTATGTTTGGTTACTTCGATGTTTAATTCGTTTCCCTGTTATCTGTTGTTGCTTGGAAGTTTGAATTCTTGCATGACTAATCAAGTTTTTTTGAGAATGTTAACTTTGTATTAAAAGCAAATGGTATTTACATGAATAGTAACATATGTATGGCAGCCCACATATCGGGTGCTCAAAATACAATGAAAATCGAACAAAAAGGAAAAATGTGCTCACTGGGACAAGAGACAAAATTCTAAAGAGGAGGTGCTACTGAGAAGATTCTTGAAGAGGTTCTGGTGTGAGGTCTGAGAGCAAGGCTGAGGTTTAGAGGGAGGAGAGGGCAATGTATGCTGTCGGCGAGGTTTAGGGGGAGGAGAGAGCAATGTATGCTGTCGGCGAGGTTTAGAGGGAGGAGAGAGCAATGTATGCTATCGGCGAGGTTTAGGGGGAGGAGAGAGCAATGTATGCTGTCGGCGAGGTTTAGAGGGAGGAGAGAGAAAGGTGGTTTGGGTGCTCTGGGGTAGCATTGCTGGGCCTGATGCCTATGCATTGGGTGACTGATGTTTGATTGCATGACTAATGCAGGCATGTTTATTTGAGTGCTTGATTATAGAGTATCATTGGGAAGTTCTATTGTTTGCAAGTTCCACCTCAAAAATGGGTGGAAACTTCTGGCCATCCTATATTCCATGATGTACCCATCCATGTTTTTGGTGGAAATAGCAAGATGATGGGTGTAGATAGCAAATTTATTGGTGCAGAGAGCGACCCCTTTATTTTCACTGTACTTTGCACTTTTCTGTTAGTTTTCTAAATTTAAAAAGTCTTCGATCACCTGTCATTTATAACATTATCTGCTTATTGATTATGGGAAAATATTCTGAGGTTGGACCTATACCAAAGGACTGACAAGTAAAATACCCTTTCAAGACTGGTGTTCTCAATATTTGCTGCACCCTGTTTTGAGGACGCTTTAGGAGGTTTATATGGGATGCACTATAGAGGAGCTCAAGGAACCCCTTTTACTGAATATAAATTTATAATTTTGGATGGGTTATCTTCCACAAATTGCTTCACCTAATTAATTTAGCTACTTACAATGCTATGTATAAAAAAGAATATGTAAAGGAATTACTGGAACTTATGCTTGATATGGCATTTCTTGAAGTTTGAAAAAGATTGGATTGATTCACTTGGATTAGAGTCTTCTAAGTTCAGCGATGCCACCCCAAGTAGTATATCTATCAAAAGAGAAACAAAAGGCTATCTCAAGTCTTTTCATTACTGTTACATGTTTAATAAGCACCAATGATGTCCCTGTTTCCTTAGTCATTCTTGTGAATTGGAGCCTCCATTGATGGGTGTTAAAATCAAACTTGGACAGTGTGAGGTGTGGTAGTAGTGGACCTCTGGATGAGTTGGGGTTTTGCCCAAGCATCTTCAAATAATTATTCCTATAGAGTGGCATGGGTTATCTAAGATAATTGTCCAGCTCTATCCCATAATTACGAGATCTTTACATTTGAGGAGCACATCTGTAGAGAAGAGGCGAAGAAATTTTCTCTCAAGCACTAGAGTAAGTGAGGGAAAATATTGTATTCCTTGGCTATAATGTTACCTGTAGGAATTGTTGTGTGGCTATAAATGGGTGGATGTTGTTTGTTCATCATTTACGTGGCCGTAGTTTTATGGAGGATCACACTCTTTCACACAATAGATAATGTAGGTTCAGGATTCATGATAAGTTTTGACAAAGTTTTTAGTTAGCTGCCTACCTAACACAACCCAACTCCTTTACCCTGGCATGGGACATGTTAAGGGAAAGTTTAAGGTCCTCACCCTTCTTAGATCTATGTGCCATGTTGCGCTTGAGACGCAACGGTGCAGCATCGAGGGAGGTCAACAACCGAGATTTTTTTCCTACTTAGGCAACTGATTGAGAAGCTTAGGGCGAAGGGAAAAA